AATCTGTTGTGGGACACGGTGTCTATCTGCAACACAAGACAGAGGGCTTGCTATGGGACGGCGCTCTTTCATTTTTTAAATATAAATTGCTCTTAGCCCAACCCTCAACTACTCACCGTCACCGTCACCGTCACCGTCACCCACTCACCGTCACTCTCAAAGCGTTCTCTCAATACTCCTCTCGTCGCCCTCACTTACTCACTCTCACCCACTCACCGTCACCCTCAAGGCGTTCTCTCCATACTCTTCCACCACTCACCGTTACTCTCACCCACTCACCGTCACTGTCACCCTCATTCTTTCACTCACCGTCACCGTCACCCACTCACCATCACCCTCAAGACGTTCTCGCCATACTCCTCCACCCGAAACTCCGCCAGTGGGAAGTCTTTGCCAAAGGGACCTTTGCCCTTTCTTCTCAGGACAGCTTTGTAGGCATTAGGGCCGTCGGGGTCAAGGCTGGACATTGTGTACCTGGCCGGGAGACAGGACAGGTTTGTTTGGGTGTTGGTTTGTTTGTTTGTTTGCTTGTTTGTTTGTTCGTTGTTTGTGGGGGTTTTGTTTGTTTGTTTGTGGATTTGTTTGTCTGTTTGTTCGTTGTTTATTTGCTTGCTTGAGGGGTGGTTTTTAAGTTTGTTTGTTTGTTTGTTTGGCTGAGGATTTATTTATTTGTGAGTCTGTTTCATTGTTTGCTTGTTTGTTTGTATGTGTTTATTCTAGGTTAAGAACACGGGTACGTCCACAACAAAACAACAACAACAACAACAACTACTACAACAACAACAACAATAACCATAAAACAAAACACCAAACCTACCCAGTATTGTTGTGAGGAAAGTAACAGACGCGTACATCAAAATTGCAACAACGACAACAACAACAACAACAACAACAACAACAACAACACACCACACACATAACCACACACAAACCTACCCAGTATTGTTGTGAGGGAAGTAACAGACAGGCACATCCGGGTGACTGACGTGCTCATCCCACACACAGTTCCGCGCGCGGCATGAGTACATCGTGGGGAGGTCATGACCCCCCAGTCTCTCAGGCCAACAGTCCACGCGCGACATCTCTGCCTCGCTCAGGGCGCTGGACACATAGGAAAAATAAACAACAACAACAGTGTGCGTTAGATTTGTCTTCAGGTGTTTTCCCCTCTTCTTTCTCTATGACTTCTCTTTTTAATGATGATGATGATGATGATGATGATGATGATGATGATGATGATGATGATGAAGATGATGACATTATGAAGTGTATGCGCGCACATTTATTGCTATAGCTTGTAGTCGTTAGATTGTATATTATTTTTTTGGATCGTGTTCCTGACGAAGCCCTTTACAGGGTGAAACGTTGCACCTCTATTAAATTTGAAAAATCTACAAAGTCTCAAACCCTTTTTTTATTCCCTGCTACCCACAATGATGATGATGATGATGATGATGATGATGATGATGATGATGATGATGATGAT